ATGAGTGTAGGCTCCCTAGTCCGTCAGGCGAGGTTAAGACTGCCCGCCTGTTTCATGTGTCTGGAGTAGATAACTCCTTGGCACATTGCTGTCTCAGTGTTGCCGCGTTTGCGCGACTAGTAAGAAAGGAGCAGTTAAGAGGATCAGGTTTTCGTCGTGTATGTTAGACCTGTCACTGAGCCTAAGAAAGACGATAGTCATATGGGCCCAACGATTGCCAAGCTGCTGGAAGAGTTCAAAAACCTTGCAGAGCCGCCGTCAGGAGTAGTGTCGCGGCCGATCCAACACATGATAGAGATAGAGCCTGGCAGTAGGACTCCTAAGGGAGCAGTTTACAGGATGTCCCCTAGAGAGTTAGAGGAGCTGTGTAAGCAGTTAGACGAGCTCCTCGAAAAGGGTTGGATTAGACCCAGTTCATCTCCTTTTGGAGCACCAGTACTATTTGTCCCCAAGAAGGAAGGAGAGTTGCTTATGTATATAGACTATAGGGGTCTGAACGCGATCACGGTAAAGAATGCTGAACCACTGCCCAGGATAGACGATCTTTTAGATCGGGTGCAGGGTTGCAGATATTTTTCGAAGAACGATTTGAAGTTCGTATATCATCAGATAGAGGTCCATCCTGACGACCAGTATAAGATTGGTTTCCAGCCTCGATATGGGCACTATGAGTTCATAGTGATGCCTTTTGGACTGACCAATGCGCCAGCTGCATTTCAGCGATGTATGAATGATTTGTTTAGGCCTTGGTTTGACAGATTTGTCGTAATGTATTTAGATGACATCTTAGTGTTCAGTAGGACCCTCCAAGAGCACCAGGGTCATTTGAGGCAGGTCTTGGAGAAGCTGAGAGAAACTAACTTCAAGATCAACGTGAAGAAGTGTGAGTGGGCCAAGACGCAAGTCTTGTACTTTGGCCACATTTTAGACGGAGATGGCATTAAGCCTGAGGACAGCAAGATAGCAGCAATTAGAGATTGGCCGACGCCCCGCACGTTGACTTAGTTGCAGTCATTCCTAGGCCTAGCTAATTACTATAGGAAGTTCGTGAGGAACTTCTCGACTATCGCCACTCCCCTTCGCAAGTTGCTCAAGAAAGAGGCGATCTGGCAGTGGGATAAAGATTGTACGTTTGCGCTAAAGAAGTTGAAGTGCGCGTTAATAGAGTACCCCGTCCTCAAAGTAGTAGATCCGTCTTTGCCATTTGTCGTCACCACGGACGCGAGTCATTATGGTATAGGCGTCGTGTTACAACAGGACGACTGCAATGGCTACAGACCCGTAGAGTTCATGTCAGCGAGGATGCCCTCAGAGAAGGTAGTTACCCCGGCATACGAGAGAGAACTCTACGCTCTCAGGCAAGCCTTAGAATGGAAGCATTACCTGCTTGGGAGGCACTTCAAGGTGTATTCAGACCATGAGGCACTTAGACGGCTGAAGACACAGGCCAAAATGACACCTAAGTTGACTAGGTGGGCCGCTGAGATAGACCAATACGACTTTGAACTCAAGCCTGTCAAAGGCAAGTACAATGTAGTTGCGGATGCTCTAAGTAGGAGATCAGACTACTTTGGAGCTTTAGTTCACTATCTGGACATAGGGAGTGACCTGCAGGAAAAACTTAGACAGGCGTATGCGCATGACCCTCTTTATAGTGACCTCCTCAAGAGAGTCAAGGAGGCCCCAGAGACCGAGCCAGACTACCGCACTACAGAGGGACTGTTGTTTGAGAAAGACTAATGTAGTAGACTGCCTGTGCGTTCTCAACAGTGAGGGGATCCGCAGTTTGATCTTAGGGGAATGCCACAACACAGAGGGACATTTCGGTTGGCAAAAGACTTTAGCCAACCTGATGCACGCATATACGTGGCCAGAAAGGAAAAACGACTGCATAGAGTATGTCCGCAGTTGTAAAGTTTGCCAAAGAAACCGTGCCCCTCTAGGTCTTCTCAGACCCTTGCCTATTCCTGATCAGCCAGGAGATTCAATGTCCATTGACTTTATGGACGCCGGCGTCAAGAGTAGGCACGGCAAGAGCCAAGTCATGGTCATAGTTGATAGGTTTAGCAAGTATGCAGTTTTTGTTCCTTTGCCTGCAGAGGCACGTACCCAGTTAGTAATTCAGAAGTTCTTTGATTTTTGGGTTAGCGAGCATGGCGTCCCATTGTCTATTGTTAATGATAGAGATACCCGTTTTACTAGCCAGAACTGGCAGGAACTGATGAAAGTCTATGGATCCAAGTTGTTGATGTCGTCTGGCCGCCATCCAGAGACTAACGGTCAGACTGAGCAGATGAACAAGATCCTGCAGCAGGTTCTGCGCATGTATATTAGACCTGATCAAGTCAATTGGGACGAGATGTTGCCCAAGGTAGCCAGTGCGTACAATAAAAGCGTGCACTTGTCCACCTGTCGCACTCCCAATGAGTTGCACAAGTCCCTTAGACCACGTAGACCCTTTGAAGGACTTAACCGGGATCAGATTCACAGGCTACCGCCCGGTACCAGGGAGTTTGCGTTAGAGCACGAGAAAGAGCTAGCTACTGTTGTTGAGAACCTCAGGAAGGCCCAGCATAGAATGATAGAACAAGCCAACAAGCATCGTCGCCCATTGCAGTTCCAAGTAGGCGACTTAGTCTGGGTCAAGTCCAAAGAGTTTGCTCCTGAGGAAAACATCTCTTAGAAGTTACTGCCCGCGTATAGAGGACCGTGGCCAGTTCTCGAAGTTAAGGGCGGAGAGGATGGGCCGTCCTACACAGTAGAGATCCCAGCACACCTCCACACCTATTTCATGCATCAAAGTTGCTGCCGTGTGTCACCGGTCAGCAGTTTCCATCTAGACAGACCATGATCCCTCCAGACATGGGCGGGAGGTACGACATCGACGGCATCGTAGGTGAAGATGTGTTTAGAACAGGAGGTAGAGGTCGTAAGGTCCGATTTGCTTATCAGGAGCCAGAGGACGACCGCTCGTTTACTAGAACAGAACTTCTGGAAACAGCTCCCAACATAGTTAGAGCCTATGAGAGAGATAAGAAGGGAAAAGGTCCTGCCTTGGACTAAGTTATTCTCGGAGGACCTCGAATTTAGGCCGGCAGGAGTGAAACGGTATTCACCTGTTTGCAGTAGCCGATGCAGATCCCAGGGCTCGATCCCTAGTCAGCACCTTACCTGTGTACAGTATTTGTATCGACCCCGAAGAGCTGAACCCGTGACCTGTGTATTTGTAACAGTTGGTAGACCGCCGTAGGGTCCGTAGGTAGCAGGGGTTCGATCTGTAGACCTGTCGAGTAGGAGTCTTAGGGAGTTCTAGAAGTCGTAGTTGTAGAACTTCTGAAGGGTCAAGGTCGTAGCTGCTACAGTCCTGAAAGGTCAAGGTCGTAGCTGCTACAGTAGCGAAAGGCCAAGTCCACAGCCTTCCGGAAGGTCCTAGCAGTGGCCTTTCGAAGTGGCCCACGTTCAGGCTGAGGCAAGTGGGCAAGTAGTGGAGTCTACCCGTGCTGAGTCAGCAGTCCCAGTCCCAGTCAGTCCTAGTCCAGTCAAGCAAGTACCGCATGGGACTGTGTGCACTACAGGCATGGGAAAGGGCAGCGCCCAGCCATTCATTCATTCCTGCGTGAGCCATGCGGAAGCCCTGCCACAGCGACTTGTGCGAGGTGGTCTGCAGTGAGCCCGAAGACGAAGTGGGCAAGAGAGAAGAAGCTTAGCCATAGCGATAGGTTAGCAGCGGCCATAGCCGCCATAGCTGTAGATAGAGTTCCGTGTGTGAGTGTGTGAGTGTGCAGTGTATGCATGTGGGATATCCAGGGTGATCCTATGTGTGATAAGAAAGCGACGAGTGAGTGACGAACAAAGACTTGTACGGGTGCTGAGTCGCCATAGCCATCTGAAGCAAGATGTATCTGGACTGTATTCTTGTTTGCCATACCTCTGAGTTTTGAGTGGGCGCTCGTCGCCAGTTTGCTGCGCAACCTGTTTACATGCATGTGAAGTGTGAGCGAGTCTGATTGCACCCCGGGCGGCCCGCCTGGGGGAAGGTCGCCCAGGTACCCTCCCAGGCGGCCCGGACCGGGCAGGGCCCGGGCAGGGTCCTGGGGATCTCAGGTCATAATATTACCAAAAAAAAAAAAAAAAAAATCCGAAAAAAAAAATGTTGTGTAAAATTGCAATACAAACGACTTTTGGCTGCAGGCCGCCTCAAAATTCCTTTTTAATTTCAAGATAAAAATAAATGAGAAAACATGAGTCCAAAAAGACTCCAAACGTACCCTTTTAAGCCCTTCAATCACTGTTTATACCCCCCAACCCCCCCTAGATGACCCATCACCAAAACCGAAGTTAAGACCGGATTCTGACCTGGCCTGAAGTCTTGTTTTCTTTTTTGGGATCCTTGCCTCTTTTTTGACCCGTCTGGTTTTGCCGGGCGACCCCCCATCTGCCGAACTGGCCCGGGCGTGCCGGGCCGGGCGACGGCCCAACATAGCTTTTAACCCCATTACCAAACCCTGCCTAGGCGAACCTTGAGCAACTTTTGAAGATAAAGAGTCATAAGACCATATTCTGACTGCTCAGGCCAGACACAGATCTGGCATGCAGTCAGACTACTCCGCCCCTCGCCCCGTCCCCCGTTTTTAGGCATGCTGGGGGTACCCACACAGGTGGGGTCCGGCTTCCCGAGCCCCACTGCCCGGCCAGGTGACCCGGGTAACATAGCTGGTTACCAAATTCTTTATATTAGCCCAGACATGTTACTTCAGGTCCATTTCTTAGTAGATAACTGCAAGTGCGTTGACTGATATTGCTGCTGCTCTATTCATTCAGAAACTCCGTTTTAGCTATAAGGTCTGACAATTTGAGTACAGATACCAGGGAATTGTCAAAACCTCTCGGGCTGGTCCTTTGGTGTGCTATTTATCTTCTTCTGCCTCTGAAACTATGCCGTACAAGATCAAAAGAGCAGAACCATGCAGGCACAACAGAGGGATATGAGAGGTTCTCAC